TGTAATCGCTGGAAATGTGACTACAATAACACAATTCTTCGAAAACTGGAGAAAATCAATAAATTTCAGCAATAACTGCAAATATTTCATTGTATACTCTGATCAGGTTAATGAAATCAACAAAATAGCATCTGCAACTTGGGTTGTCTACGCTTACAACGTGATCATAGATCATAGATTCCAAGTACAATCTTCATTCTTACAACTACAAAACAACTAAACTCTTGTGAAAATAAAACAGAGCTACTACAAGTCCTAACCAGGGAGATACCCAACTTTAATGGCTGTCCCTTTGTAGTAATAGAGACTACTAGAGTAGAACCTTTTGTTGTGGATGTTAAAAGCCTCACAAATCGAGGACTGGAACCTTTAATCATCGAAAATATTGGATTGAAAGTAAATTTCACCGTGAAATATCTAGATAACAACTTTACGGATCATCGTGATAATGTTGTCAAATATCTCCCTTCCGCTTTTTTGCTCTTTATTCAATGCTTTATAAAAAGTGTTACAGTGATCGGATTTAGTTCAAATATGCGCCGTTTTGTTCGATAATTTGTTTCCATCTAGACGGCAACTTCATAATACCTCTCTCGTTGAAGCCCCCCTCCTTATTTGCGAAGAACTCGGACAGCCACTTTTCACAAGCCTCTTTTGATTTCAACTTTACACAATCAAGGGCATTCGCCATGGACAGGAACAGGTGGTAATCACTTGGCGCTATGTCTGGGCTATATGATGGATGCAATAAAAACTCCCATTCGAGCTCCCGTAGCTTCTGACGAGTCATCAACGAAGTGTGTGGTCTGGCGTTGTCCTGGTGGAACACTACACCCTTCCTGTTGGCCAATTCTGGACGCTTCTGGTCGATTGCCTGCTTCAAGCGGTCCAGTTGTTCGCAGTAGATGGTAGAATTAAGCGTCTGGCCATATGGGGGCAGCTCATAGTGGATGATTTCCTTCCAATCCCACCAAACACACAGCAAAACTGTTTCACTGTTTGGGACGATTCACCGGCCTTCAACCACGACAGTTTTCGCTTGATATTGTCGTATGTGATCCATTTTTCGTCGCCAGTCACCATCCGCTTCAAGAATGGGTCGAGTTCGTTCCGTTTCAGCAGCATATCGCAGGCGTTGATTCGGTCCAGAAGGTTTTTTTGCGTCAAATCATGCGGCACCCAAACATCAAGCTTTTTTTTTGTATCCAGCCGTCTGCAGATGGTTTAAAATGGTTTGGTGACTAACTTCCATCTCCTGGGCGATGTCCCGAGATGCCACATGCCGGTCTAACTCGATGTATTCCATGATTTTATCGGTATTTGTCGTCACAGGTCTTCCGCCGGCTGGCTTATCCATGGTGTCGTTTTCACCGGCTCTGAATCGTCGAAACCATTGCTCCGTAGTTCGAAGTGAGAGAGCACCATCCCCCAAAACACCATTAATCTCACTGAACGTTTCTCTAGCGGAGTTGCCTTTAACGAAGGAAAACTTTAAAATAGCGCGAATTTCGGCGTTAGTGAACTCCATGTTTACACGTCTATAACTGTTGAACGCAATATCCAAACTAATCATGCATAGCGTCGTTTTGTAGGTCATGTCTAGACCTTTCAAATCATGTATAGACTTGCCAGATACGAGCTCTGTAGCGCTTTGTACATAGCCGCGAAATTCAAAAGACAAAATGGCGGAAGGGAGATATTTGACAACTATTATTATCTGTTTTAAAAACTGCAAAGTGTAATATTGGATGACCAAAGTTACTTTAGTAACTTCACCAAATGTTTTTTGATATGTTCTCTAAGGTCCTAACCGATGGCATTAAATTACCTAAAAATAACCTCAAAAGAGTACAATTGATACCATGAATATTATTTCCGATTATTTGTGGAATTTTTTTTTCTGATTTTTTGTGTTATCTTTGCTTACATTGCATTTTCATCAGAAAAATCGTATAAAATGTAAACAAAATGATCTAAAAATTAATTAGCATTATTGATGGCCTTGTGATAGCCATTGTTCAGACATACGCTGAGTTTACAAAAATAAGAAAAAAAAAACACAAACAATTTACTATAAATTATAACACAGTTGAGAATGAGATGGTTTCGCCAACAACTTGAACATTATTAACAAATTCCCGTGGTGTATTACAAGAAATTTGCAATAAAATGAGAAAAAAATATTTTTTTCAAAGAACAAAGTTGATATTATAATAAATAAACTTAAAAATGCATGAATTATTGATATTTTAGTGTTTAAACTGCCTTCAGAATAATCAAAATTCAAAGTAAACAACAAACTTATTTGTTATTCTAATCGAAACAAAGAAAAACGTTAATTTTATTTATTTTATTATTATTATTAAACTAATATTTAAATATTAAACTCCAGTCTTCAATAATTGAGTTGTTAGTTCTTTCTCGTCTTCTATACGAAAATGTCGCTATTTTCAATCTTCTCCTTAACAACTATAATTCTCCATGTTAATTCAAACATAATTTCTCTAAAAGAAATCAACACTGGACAAAAATCTTGCCTGGAAACAATTTTTGACATCCTTCGTTCCGAAACAGCTACAACTTTCATATCAACTTTGAAAGATGATTATATACTCAGCGAAACATTCATAAATTATCTCTCAACACTACAAAACGAAATATTACTTTATGATCCAACTCATGTCATCGACATGGAAGCACCTTTAAATGTTCAATCAGTCATTGTAATCGCTCAAAATGTGTCAACAATAACACAATTCTTTCAAAACTGGAGAAAATCTATAAATTTCAACAATAACTGCAAATATTTCATCGTATTCTCTGGCCCGGCTCATGAAATCAATGAAATAGCATCTGCAACTTGGGTTGTCTACGCTTACAAAGTGATTATCATAGATTCCGAGTACAATCTTCACATTTTAAATGATTTCGCACCAAATCAATGCAGTCTTACAACTACAAAACAACTAAACTCTTGTGAAAATAAAACAAAACTATTACAAGTGCTAACCAGGGAGATAACCAACTTTCATGGCTGTCCCTTTGTAGTAATGGCGACTAATAGAGTAGAACCCTTCATTGTCGATGTCAAAAGCCCCACAAATCGAGGATTAGAACCTTTGATCATCGAAAATGTTGGATTGAAAGTAAATTTCACCGTGAAATATCTAGATCACAACTATACAGATGGCGGACTTATCAAAAAGAACTCCCTGCCATGTTGTATGTATGATAATCTCTACAACGGAGAAGCAGATATTATGTTTGGTCAAAAATTTGCAATCGCAGGCGTTCATTGGTACTTTGACGTGTCTGAACACTACCTATATACAAATCTTCATCTGTTAGCTCCGAAAGCACAACCTTTACCAGTGTGGACATACCTAACCTATATTTTCGAACCTAAAACTTGGTTAATCTTTGGTTGTACGCTTATTATCTTTGTAATAATTTATTATCTGTTTCAAAAACTGCAAAGTGTAATATTGGATGACCAAAGTCACTTAAGTGACTTCATTGAATGTTTTTTCGATATGTTCTCTGTGGTGCTAACAGATGGCATTAACTTACCTATAAATAACCTCAAAAGAATACTAGTATTATCATGGATATTATTTGCGTTTGTTTTTTCAAGTTCATTTGAAAGTACGCTGATTTCATATCTGGTACACCCTATATATGAGAAACAAATTAAAACTCTTGAAGATGTCGTCAATAGTAATTATAAAATTTATGGTGTCTGGTCTTCAAGATACATGTTCACATTCCAAACGGATCCGTTCAGTATTGAAATCGTTAAGAGATGGAACATAACACAATTTACAGAAACTCTAACAGTTTCCAACCTGGTTGTAACAGAGAGAAATGCTATTTCTGCTATATCCGATTTGAGATTACAATATGCCATTGCCACAATGGGTATGTATCTTGACAAAAACAAAATTTTAGATCTGTATGTCATGGAATCGATGACTACGTACTATAATTGGATGGTGATGCAACGTGGGTTGCCTATAAAGCAAAGCGTTGACAGATACATCATGGCCGTTACAGAAACTGGTCTCATGGATCATTTTAGAAAGAATATCACGTCGATTGTGTATAAAGACTTTGATTCCGGGCAGTTTTTTTCCTATTTCACTGGATAATATCCTCGTTGCCTTCTTGTTGTATTTCCTGGGGACTGTTTTAGCATGTATTGCTTTTGTATTTGAGGCAAAACGAGGAAAAAATCAATATGACAATGGAAATGGAAATGAAATTGAGTATTTGAATGAGTATTAAGTTGTTATATTTAAATTGTCATGTATAGAAGTATAAAACGTTTATATTTAATGTATTTATTAATAATACACAAGGTATAGTTTAGAGAATGCATTTTATTCATAATAAATGTTATCAACAATGAATTATTCACTAATAAGTGTTATAAAAGCAGAAAATACACGTTTTAATATTATATTCCTGCACGAACTGTTTCATGTTCGACATTTTGTAATGTTTTGTTCAGATTTCGTATTTTTATTACGCTACAAAAATGTTTTTGCTTAATTTATTCATACTGCTTATCACAAATGAATTTTCCAATGGAAATTCGTTCATTAATTCTCTTATAATTTATTATCTGTATAAAAAACTGCAAAATGACCAAAGTGACTTAAGTGACGGAATGTTTTTTTGATATTTTTACTCTGGTTCTAACAGAAGACATCAAATTACCTAGAAATAACCTCAAAAGTGTACTACTGTTTTTTAATTTCAGTTTTTGATGTTATCTTAGCTAACGCAGCGTTTTTATCCAAAAAAAGCTCAGAAAATTTAAACAAAATGATCTAAAAATTAATTACTATTAGCAACCGAACTAAATTTAATCACTAAAAACATATTTTTTATTAAAATAGTCAAAATATTATAGATTTAAGGTCAAAGCAAACCGATAGGCTGAAAAATCGAATCCGGATCGCTAGCATGGAGACAACCCACGATCAAAAATCCCACACTTATCATTATCAATCCGTCTTTATTTGTAATGTTTACGAGTTTCTGGCAGATAACTAGCTAATTACACAAAATTAAAAACGCAAACCAATACACACTCAGCGCGCTATCACAAGGCCATCGATCAGACACACGCTGAGTTTACAAAAATAAGAAGAAAAAAATACACACACAAACAATTTACTATAAATTATAACACAGTTGAGAATGAGATGGTTTCGCCACACACACGGCCGCGAAATAATTTGTGGTCAACAACTTGTACAATATTAACAAATTCTCGTGGTGCATGACTAGAAATTTCCATGTCGGGGGTTAAATATTAACCAGCCATCTTGTTTATCAGGAGGTACTACTTAGGTGCTAATGAGATGACGTTCGCAGTGAGTGGCTTTGAACAAATTTACTATCACATTTTATATCCGCTTCCACACGATCAATTTTGGAGCTTGTTGCTTAAGGTTTTCCGCAGAAGCTTTTGAGCTCTGTGATCGTACACGAGTTGCGGCAGCATTCGTTGATAATTCCACGGCGTTTTCTTCGAAGCATTGCTTTCGCTTCGCGTGGATTTATGAATGGCTGTGCTGTTGGTCTGTCTGTAACTGCAAAAATTAAAAAATTTAAAAAATTTAAATTTTATTAAAAATATTTTTTTTTTTAAGAGAAAATGCTTACTGTATGAATTATAATAGCCATGGCAAACGATTGAGATGGTTGTGGACAACTTAGTGCCGCAATACTGAATGCGTTTCTCGGCCTCGTCCAGCTTCTGTTGAGTGTCGTGTGGGAAGGCAAATACCAGCCCAAGGCAGAGCAGGGCAAGCAGAATCTTGGTCGTTTCATGTTCCATCTGGAAAGTTAAAAAAAATCATGAAAAACGTGTTTTTTGGGGAAAAAAATCAATTTTTTGTGAAAAAATAACTTTCAACCCTTATTTCACACCCTTAAACTTATTTTAAAACGGAAAAAAGTAGTCTACGTCATTTTCCATAGTATAATTTATAATTATACCAAAAATTATAAAAATTGTTCAAGTGGTTTAGTCGTTAAAGAGTAACAAACAAACATTTTTCATTTTATTAATAGAAAAACAGTGTTTCAAGTACAAATTACTTGATAACTATCAAAGATAATACTCTATAATTAATTATACATATAAATCAACAATAAATTCTTCTCTCCTCACCTATAGAGTTTCGAAATTCGGGAAACTCGTCGATTCACAGCAAGTTTTCGACCGTCCGCACACATTCGTTTGAGCAGTATAACACGCAGGTTACACCACGCACACCGACACACTCACACAGCACACAAAATAATTCGCTGGAAAATATCCAGTGATTGGGTCTAGTTCACGATAAGTTGCGGGTTTTGATGTACTTCCGTGAATCACGTGTGGTTCTTGGGCCGCGCGCGGATAAAATGCGGCGCCGCCACCACCAGCTCAGACGTTGCATCCTGCGCACCGAACTTGGACCCCACTTCATCTCTAATCCGCTTCGGCGCTGCGCGTGATAACGCCATGAGTCCCGGCAATGATCGCCGATAAGTTGTTTACTTCAAATGTGACCCACCTTTGGCTTAAAATCGGAATGTTCGATTGCCACTGGCGCAAGCCATGAATAACACATTTTGTTTGTGTGCTACAAAAATGTTTACGCTATGTTTTTGGAGATTTTCTAGATGCTGAAAGTGTTTTGCGGAAATATGAAGTATTTTAGTCAGAAATGGAGAAAATTAAATTTTTAATTTGGAGAATTTTAAGTGAAACATTAGAAAAACAGCAATATCTTCGAAAATATTAATTGTAGATTATTGGAAAAAATATTATATTATAAACCAAGTATTTGTGCATCGTTTTCACTAAAAAAGTTTTAAAATATTTTTGATATTCAAGGAGAAAAAAAATATTTTTTTCGAAATTTTGAATAAAAAAATTTTTGTTAGTGGTCAGAAAAACCGAAATATCTCCGAAAATATTAAACGTAGAGATTTGAAAAAAATACTATATTATAAACAAATTATTTGCCTATCTATTACCTTAAAACAATATTTAATCATTTTTGAAATTCAAACAAAGAAAAAAACAAATTTTCAAGTTTTTCAACCAAAAAAGTCAAATTTCAGAAAAAAAACCTCAATATCTCCTAAAATATGAAATTTACACAATAAACAAAAATACAATATTATAAACAAATTAATTACGCAACTATTACAAAAAAAACTTTTAAAAAACATTTAAAACTCCATGAATAAATTAATTTTTTGCGTGACGAAACCAAAAAATATGCGTAAAAAGATAAAATAATTGGCGAAGGTCGTGATTTAAATAAAAATGTTTTTGTTATAATTACTCTCACAGTCCATCGCTATATTATGAGTCAAAAGTTCACTTGAAATATGTGACCAACTGACGCACGCCCGCTTCTCTTGATTGTCGTCAATCAAGTGGCAATAGAAGCGAGTCTAACAAGAGTCTAGTTCTCGTGGTCTAGACGGTGAATAATAGGCGTGATTAAACTTTCAACTAAACGACCGGGTCAATAAATCCGCACAATTCTCACCACTGAAGGTGCAATAGTAAAATAGAGTAATATTGAGGTTAGGACATCAAAATGGCCGCCAAGTGTCATAACATTACATTACACAATCTTGTTTGTTTGTTTGTTGTTTAAAATTAGACGAACGCACAAGAAAGTCTCAGCTTCGTCTCGTCGATGCCGCGCGCTATAAATAAACAATATAATCGTGACAATGTTGTGCACTCTCTGAATCCATCGACCCTGCGCACTCAATCGACATTATCAACCAGCATGAAAGTTATTACAATGTAACATAATTAGCAAATAAATCCAAAACCACTAAAACACACAATGTGTGTATTTGGTTGTCTATCTAATAATGACATAATTAATTATATAATAAAAGCCATTATTTCCACATTTACGAAAATTTATGTGTCGATGGTGTGAAAGGTTGCGATAAATTTCGCATTCCACACTTTTATCATCATTATTATGAATAATTATAACCACAGTAGTAAAAAAAGCGCACGAGTCGTCAATTTCTCATCGAATATTTAATTGTAATGCATATAATTCATGAGACAAATTGTTGTTTGCTTGCACCCACAGTTTTCAGCGCTGAAAACAAAACAAGAAAAACGAAAAATCCAGCAGGGTTATCGGATATGGATCAGGGATCATACGATTCGCTTGTGCGAGCAAGAAATCGTCACGAATTCACAATTAAATTTCTACAATTCGCTGAGTGCGGATTTTTACGTTTACGCGTAAATATCCGATAATCCAGTGAAACCAATGAATCAAAACATATTTATTTCTAAATTCTTCGATTATCTAATTGGGATGCAAATTAATCAACAATAAACAATTTTTTCAGCATCTAGACGTTATAAATACTTGGTTATCTAATTTTTTTCTGTTTGCTTACGAACGCTGTGTTTGCGATGAGCTAAAAATAGCCGAGTCAAAGATGAGGAATGAAATGAAATGAAAACGATCATTCATCAGTGTCGCGAGTGACAGATAAATTAAATTAGTTGAAATTTGTTTATAGTGAAAAGTTTGATGACCACACCGATAACGTTTTCAACGTTTTTTTGTGACGCCTGTGAACTTATGCAGTCGAATTTTGAACTGCGAACTCTACGACCAGTTTAAATTATGTAATTAATTAGTAGTTAATGTAAAACATGCTTATTTACTATGAAAGTTAATTTTATGGTAGGCTACTCAATATACATCGCATTTAGGCCGGCAGATGGCGTTGGATCATCGATAAATACATTTATTATTGATAATTAGATATAATTAAATAATCTACATAATTATTTAGATTCAGTTAGTTTGTTAGTATGTTAACAAATAGTTTTTCGCGCTTGGCAACTGGTAACTTTATATAAATTTGTTTATAACACGTTTTTTTAGTGTTTATACATCCGCCACGTTTCTCTCATAATAAACAGGTGGTTTTTCTTCTTCTACGTAGACAACAGTAGATGACGTTTGTTGTGGGGTGTAATTCGGGTTGCGTGGATCCAGCATCTGATATAGACTCAGTACTGCATACCAATAATACCAATGGAAGCCTGAAAAATGCAAAATTTGACGACATTGTTTAATTTTCCGATGTGTTAACATTTATTCTCGTGTTTGGAACATTGCCAAATGCAATAACTAAGTTTTCATTAACATGGAACCAATGTTTTTGCAGTTATAAATAGTCTAACACATTTTTTTGGAGAAATTGATGTTAATTATGTTAATTTGTGTACTCACCTAATAATACCAAGACAAGTAGCAGTACTGGAGCGTAAATCACGTAGATAATACAAATTAATGTTAGGAATGCAGACAAAATTGCAGTTAGGATCAAAAATGGCAAAAGAAACCCACGTCTTTCCTAAAAAAATCAAAAATTTTTAAAAATTCGAAAAAAAAATTTTTTAATTTAATTTTACTTACTTTGTGAGCACCGTAGGCTAAACAAATGTAAATTAATAATGCAACCACATCAGCACCAAGGGAAATAGTCTCTTCAGCTGCTTTTTCCGGATCAGATTCGTATAAGCTCAGAAAAAACTGCGCAACTGTTCCAAAACACAGAAGAATCTAAAAATATTCAAAAATTAAATTTTTTTTTAGAATATTATTTAATTGTCTTACCAAATGAAAAACAGCAAAGGCCAAAATGCCGATGCGTAGTTCAAAACAAAGGAATCGTTGCAGAGGCATCGTGAAATTTCGTAATTCCGTAACGCGTGAAAGAATGTCAGATTGCACTGCGTGCGGCTGCAAGCGATGTGAGAGAGGAGCATCCTTGACGCCGGCAATGATTTTCCAACCGCCCCCTCCGGATGGCGGAAACTGGCGCCGACGAGACTAGGATTACTGTCGCGGTTCACACACAGCAACATAGCGCAATATGGTGTAATCGATGTGTGCGATAAATAAAGAATAAAGAAGACATTTTATAAATTAATTCATTAATTGAATCAAACAAAAGTGTTATAACAACGGCAAAATAACAAAATTTAATCAGGGCTATCCAATACTTTTATTGTTAATAAGATAAAGTCTTAATGTGAGGATATAATAGGAGTATTGTATGCATGAGTCAAAGGTTTGGCTTTATGTTTTTGCAACGTTTTCTTTTCGGTGCAGAAAATAAAATTAAAATATTAAAGTGAAAATCCATAACTTCTAATAAATAGAAATACAAATATATACAATACAATAGATAATAAAATTAGATTAATTAAATTAGAGAGAAAGAGAGAAAATCATTTTAAACTTAGATTATCTTAGGTTATTTAAGTGATGAGTTTATGACTTGAAGCGCCATCTATCGACGAGGAGTTAATATACGCTCACGTTGCAATACTGATGTGCGTGTGGAACTTCATAGATATTTTCGATTGTTTTACGTTGTGGTCTTGTGGATCTCTTGATAACGTAACATAATAACAAAATATCTAGAACTAAATAAAAATTTATTTTATTTTTGATATTTTTGCTACTTCCACGTTAAGTTTTTGTATTTTAACTTTTTATTTTATTTTACTGGGAAAAGTAAGGTTATAAATGCTGTGTCGCGCAGACGCAAGCTTCACCCCGTGACTAAAGGAAGTGAATAAAGTACTTTAGTCACGATTTTAGTCCTCCATGTTTAAAAAACCACTTTTTCTGTCTCAAATCAGTAAAAAACTGTCGTGGAAATAGAAATTTAAAAAAAAACTTACATAAAATAATAACTCCGCCTGACAATAACCCAATTTGCGTGCGATACAATTTCGGTATAATTTCCATAACAATCCCAGCTGTGAGCAAAAATACTTCGATTATTTTTAGAAATATCCAGAAGGAGTACTGCCTTCTACTGCGCTGAAAATTACCATAGATTATTTCAAGGTTAAGGCAATGTTTGGCGCACTTTTCCCACGATATTTGCGCGCTTTATGATCGGATTGTTTGTTTTGAAAACTCAAATAACTTACATGCGTCATACCGTAGTATAATTCAATCCCGGCTGCAATCGCCAACACCAAATAACCAAAGTTATACATGTTGGTGTTAACTATCGGACGTCTGCTTACATTCTCAATGAATGTTAGAAACATTCCGAATGCGAAACACGACAGCGACTGCAACAAAATTTTATTTATTATTATTGCGTTTCCTTCCGGTAAAACTTGCATAAAACACAAAAACATCCACTTACCAATCCAAATATTGGTATGGCATAATTCCAGGAGCGTTCATTGGTTGGCACGTAGCTATTCAACAAGTTAATGAATTTATTCCGCCTAAAAATCAATTTTTATGCTTTTATTACAAAAAAATAAAAATATTGAATTAAAACTTACTTAGTTACTGGATGTAAATTAGTTGTACTCGATTGCATGTTTGACTTGCTTTGCTTTATAAAATTGCAGTTGCGCACTAATTGTTATCAACGTATCGAGCACCGAGACACATTCTCAAAACAATTCGATAACGAAATTGACCGATAACGCACGTTTTATCGTCGAGTGTTACTGTGTGTGATTTGAAAATCGTACTGAACGGCAAACATGAATATGAATATAATTTGCGTTTCGTTGAAATCTAGCGCAATCAGAATTACTGTCAGTCACGGTCACATTTTGCGACGAGGAGAGTTCATGCATGCATAACGAGCATCATAACATCAATAACAGCCCACACAGCGCTGGAGAATTTGTTTTAATTGTTGCAATTTGCTTTGATTGCAATAATTCATCGTGAATCAATCACAAAATGCAATATAACGTATTATTATGTAATGTATCGTTGGTTGCCTATGTTAAATATTCAAGTATAAGGTTAGAAGTAATTTTACAATAGATTATTTATTTAAACGATACATGTAAACGATAAATAGTTGTAGTTTTACCAGTTTTACTACCAAACCAATATTGTAGTTGTCTTTGGTCCATTTGGCAATTAAATACCTATACTTATGAAATTAATTAAATTCTGATTACGATTAACATTAAAACACGTAAATTTATGTACATTATTACTCAAAATAATAATCTTTATGTTAAATCATTAATTTTCTAATGTCTTTAAAAATTGAGCCGCCATTCGTATCATTTTCGATTCAATGCATCAGTCTGTTGCTTCCTCACCATAACCTCATTCTCGAAAAAGTGAGGTTATAATGGAAAGAATGAGATAAATTACGAATTGATTCAATGATTCTTAATTAAATTATAACAAACGATCTAAACTATACACAGGGTGTTGTCCTTACACACGGAAATCTGTGCTTCTTCCATTATCCTTAGCCGCGGACCCAGTGGCACGCCAATCTTCTGGAGTCGCTCTTCGCTGAGGTATGGAAGCTCCACCATTCCGATGCGTTCATTTTCAAACGCATTTGCATATTTCTACAACAAAAAACAAAAAAATAAAAAAATTTTTTTTTAATATTTTAAGGTTATATCTATACCTCATAACCTAATTTCCTCAAAAACAATCTCAATAATGGCGGCTCATCGCCAAAAAACTTGGTCAACTTCTTCACCCTCGTCGGATTCGCAAGATCCGGAAGGTCTTTGTTCATATTCCCTTGACGATTCGCCGACTGATTCCGCACACTCATCATATTTGTCTGCGTACGCAGCGCGGCGATCTCCCCGCGGATATTCTCCATTTCCTGAATCATCAGGTGTTGTGTACGCATCTCCGAAGATAAATGCGCTACGGATCTAGCTAGGGTCACAACGTGTGATTCTAAACGTTGGAAGCGTTTGTTGATCCCACGGATATCCCGGACCTTTTTCCTATCTTCATGCGCACGTCTCTTATCACGAATCGGACGACTACTCACGGAACTTGAAGGTAAAGAAGACATACTCCCATACCGACGTTTAGAAAACCTAGGGTCTGATGGTTGATAACGTCCTGAATACTTTTTCACTCCCAGGAGTTTCAAAACTTCAGAATACATCCCTTCAAGACCTTCGAGTTGTTTCCGAATAGTCCTGGCATCAGCCGTGCTCAAATCCCCATCGGAATCTGATTGTCCATCTAACATAGATTCTAAGTCCATGGATCTGGTTGTTGTTGAAGTCATATCTGCTGTATCCAACCCAAAAACTATAAAGAATAAGGTTAGGTTTCTAATTTACCCACAAATTAATCATAAATACTTTGTTTACTTCGTAGAATAGCACTGTGATCAATTTTCTTCCCACCTCGATGTTTCTGAGTGCTACCCCCACCATGCCACCTTTGATTAACCCCCTTGGACTTATACAGGTCATACTCCGGTTTGCTCCCATAAGGTAAACTCGCATGTTTGTACCTTGTAGAATTTCTAGGAGTGACATTCGGAGAGGATTGCTCACCAGGTGACAATGGTGGTAATGGCGGCGTCATTGAAGAAATACTCTCACTCAAGGTAGAATTAGCAATGTTGCTATTCCCCTGCAGTGTTAATCCATGCAATTTGGGTTCCAAGATATGCCTTAATTCGGTTTCCACGATGTCTACCCATTCACTATCATGACCTGTGGATTACCATTAATTACCAACCATTACAAAGGAAACATCATGAGAATTTGCTCATTTACTCACCAGGCGTGTTGAGATCCCTATAATCCCGTCCATTGTGTGTTGTCTGATGGTTATCCGACTCGTTGCTGGTATCAATGCCCCCGGGTCTTCTTCCGCTACTGTAAGCAGCACTACCTCTACCGGAATCTGCATTCGAGGAACTCTGACCTGCCTTATCATAATCTGAACTCGCAGCGGAACTAGGGTTGTTCTTTCGTGATTCTGCATCCTTCCGAGGTTGTATATTGTACACACCTTCAATTTTACCAATTTCTCCTTCCAGGCGTTTCCTGGGAGCTCCAGTTAGAGCAGAATTCACTTTATCTTCAGGTTTGCTTCCGGTTTCTTCTGGTTTACGCACGAAACCACCTTCGTCACTGTCCTTACCTTCACACGCACGGATTGTCTCCACGAGATTACCTTGGGAACCACGCCGGAGTGGCTGCGCTTGCGGTTGTGGTCGATTATCCGGAATCTCTTTATTAACTTCGTCTTCGAATGAGAGTTGTGGTTGGGATGCGGTTCGACGCGCTTCAAAACTACGTTGTCGGATATTATCCCGTTCCAGTTGTTGTGGGGACCGTATTAATTCAGATCTTCTTTCTTCAAGTTTTTCTTTGGTTTCCTTCATTGGCGAATGCATAGGCATGTATTGTGTGGGAGGAAACCTTTGAGGTGTTTGGTGTTGTTGTTGTTGTTGTTGTTGTTGTCGGAGATAAGGATTCTGATAGTAATCTTCCGGTCTGGAAGCCAACATCTCCTGAGATCTTGCCTGCATCAACTGTTGGTTCTTATACTGCTGTTGTTGTTGTACCAGAATCTGTTGTTGTATGATTTGCTGTTGCATCTGATGATGTTGTTGAGGACTAAGCCCTGTTTCTGGAGCAGTTCGTGGTTTACCATAAATCCCTTGCTCACCAGCAGTTTTCTTCGCTGTTTCACTTTCTTCACTCACACTTGGATTACCATTACCATCAATATTCCTCAGGCTTTTCCTCATTTCCTCAGTGACATTATTCAATCCAGCTTCTTCATGTTTATCATCAACATCCTTATTAGATTTAAACTTACTGGAGATGATATCTTTGATGGTATGGTAAGTCTTGGTCATGGTTTTATTAGTTTTCGATTCCTTTTCCTTTTCAAGGTGACCCTGACCCAAACCGGAAATTTGTTGTTGTGTGTATTCTTCATATTGTCTCTGCGCTTGAGTTTTCGCTAACTCTCCCTGCCACGTTGACCTGGGCACCGCACCCGTAGAATAATAATCACCTGGATTATGGTACGTCGCTCGGAAGACCGCACCATCATTCTGCATGGGATGAGTATGCCCCGAATGATTCTGAAACAAAGGTAACGGATTTTATTTAATCTTCTTCCGGCTGTACCTTCAATCGAAAACTTTACTGTTTCTTGACTTAAGCTAAACTCCACCATTGCAAACGATGAGTAATTCTATACTGACTGCATACGAATACGAAGCGCATTATTATTTCAACGTACGCCTCGACCACGAACCAACGACTGCTACCGACGCGCCGCGCCGCAGAATATAAACAATACAGATACAATCTGCGGTCTCACAATTAAGTCTTCGACGCACCAACGCCATGCGAACGCATTAACAAGCCTCTACCTCGGTTGACCTTCGAGGAAATAATTCAATCGAATCAATTCCGTGTGAGTTTCTGTGACAAATTTCTGATGCTTATCGCTTACTTGATCTGGTGATAGAATTTGATGGTGTGTATGGTTACTCCATGCGGACATCTGTTTAGGAGGCACGTCAGGTGCAATCGCGCCCTTTGTCCGCTTGATGTAGTCGTTCAGAATGGGAATTTTCGAGTTTTTGTCTGAACTTGACAAAATCACTTCTCTTTCGATCTGGAATAGAAAATAAAAAAATATATATAAAACAATAGAATTCATGGGAATATATAAAGGTGAAGGCACTCAAGATGGCGACTTCACTTGTATTTATAACGCGATGCATTTGACGACTGTAAATTATTTCCAGCTCGAATTATTATCATGTTTACATATTCTTGGCAAGTCATGAATATGCGCATTAATCTTGACCTTAAAATTCAAATGATTGGAGCCCCCTTTTCGTTCGGTATAATTCCTAGTGACATCTCTAATACAAAGGTGCTGACCCAGCAACGCCTACGCAATGTCAATGTGCGAATTCACTTGTCTGCAGTGATTAACATCCCCACAAACTAGTCGCGTATATAAGAACCCCGAATTCTCCACTTTCTCATAGTGTATTCATCTTCCGAACCTAAAGTTTTCATCTTACACATAAAATCGTAAGTTTTATTATTATAATATATAATATTCTATAAATAAATATTTATTATTAAATTTGTGCAGATGCATAAGTTGCAATGTTTGTTGGTGTTCTGCGTGGCGGCCATTTGCATAAATGGCCAAGGAGACGACGCCATTCTGGCTTGCGGATCACGCCTCCCTGATTTACTCTCGCTGGTCTGCCAGGGTAACTACAACCGACCGAAAAAAGCCCACGGCGATGTTTACGCTTATTCACCATCCGAAGCATCATCCATGGATGCTGGTGCTGTAGAGTGTCGTAATCTGAAACTCCTCGAACGCTTCAACAATGAAAACAAACGCGAGCGTGAGCAACTCGCGCATGCGCAGACACAGTTTCCGTTTCAGACCAGACTCGAGGCGTTCGACTTCGGGCATTTCGCACGTAACCGCCGCTCGATCACACAGGAATGCTGCAAGAAGACGTGCACGATGGCGGAGTTGCAAGGGTACTGCCATTCATAAATCACCAAAAACTCAACACCGGCATTTGACACTGTATAATGTAGATAAATATTGATTCAAGTACTAATAATAATACGAAGCAAAGAATAAAGTATTTTTATGTACAAATTTCTTCGATTGCAAGTGCGCATGCGCAACACACTTAGCGACACTCATTGAACCCAAGTGGTAAACAGTTATGAAATTTGCATTCCGTGCACGCTCGGTTAATAAAATGTACGGGTATATGATTATTATTATTATTACATGCGACATACACGCAGAAACGAGTTCATATTAATTAACTAATTAATTATTCGCAATCAGGTGCGAACATCTAGGTGATTCGTTTCACATACAATAATAAATAATGTGTAATAAATATTAATTTGTTGAAAATATCAAATTAACCGTAACGCAAACTTTTTGACACTCTAATTAATATTACTCGGGTGAAAATCACACGCGCATGCGTGGAAAATTAATTTTGAAACTTGCATTGTCTAAGTATAAGTTAAAGTACTTTTGTAACTGCACGCTGAGAAAATTCCCATATGCGCTGCGGACTTAAGTGTACTGTTACTGTTAAGTAGACTTATCTTAAGATACTTACCGGAAATTTACTCGAGTGGGTTTGTAGATTTTGTGGATTGGGACTTGATGTGGCTATAGGGGTGTCCAACCCTGCCGCGCCGGGGATACTCGGCTCGTTGTACAGCGGATACGGTGGCATTCTGTATGGGGGCGGCGTGACACGTCCGGGGGCGTTGGATTGTTGAGATTGTTGCGATGATAACGGTTTTGGAGGTGGTACCGGCTTGTAAGGCCCATAACCTTCCACCTCAACTATAAAAAGCAAAAATTTCAGTTAAGTCATTTGCGCATGCGCAATAAAAAATTAAAATTTTCGCTTTAAGTGCGGTACTGTAGGTTTCACACACATATATACACTGCGTGTGGAAAAACTGTAAAACAATATTCCATGGATTGTAAAATACGAGTATTCTCGAAGCAATTACGCATTGTTATAATTACTCTTACGTTTTACTACTTTATGCGTCTTGTGCGTTTAGCATACGATTGTAATGATCGTTCGCTTTAATTGCGACGCTTTTGTTTCCCTGATAAGTCACACAGCGAGTTTTCTTCACCGGAGAACAATGCACACTAGAAACTATAATGATATAACGAAAAACTAGCAGTACTCCCAAGTCTCACTAGAATGGAGAGCAAGAAATCCCATTTAAGTGCACTGCGCATGCGCACAAGACTTTACTACTTTAAGTACACTTATAATAATAAATTAATGATAAAAGTAAGAAAAATAAGAAATAAATTTCTGTTTGATTGAATTAAGTCTAACCACTAGTAAGTATACTTAAGTTAAGCATGGTTGCATCGCCACGCGTAATTAAATCTTCGTTGCGCATTAATTAATTTTACATAATGCGCGTAACTGTCTGATACGATACGCTCATTACAGCAATTCAATTTTTTCTTAAGTTTACTTAAGTTTACTTAAGTTTACTTAACAGTAGTTACCATTTGTAGTGATTTCTGCATCGGCTTTCGCCGATTTGAGAATTAAATCTTCCGGCGTGGAAAATGGCGTCAGGGAGGTTTGCGACCGCCGAAGACGTTCCCCGTGCTTCACCTGACGCACCGTACGTCCAGTGGCCATTACCCGAATGCATTCTGCACTTTAAATCAACCGAATTCACTAATACATCCAGTGTGCGCACATTTATGGTTATCCGACTTAAGTCAACTTAGGTTACTTAACTTAAGTAACTTGTGAACACGCGCACGCCTCGAGCGCTTTGCCCACACACTGCCGACACTGAATCACACTTGCCATCAACGCACACTCAACGCGAATCTTTTCTTTTATAAACTAATGTTTTTCTTATTCTTCTCGGGGAAATACAGTGAGGAAATTTGTTTGCCGGTGCAAAAATTGTTCACGACTACTTGTCTTGGCTGCCACCGCGGCTGACTATTGTTTGTCGGCGTGGTTTGTGAGTGTTACACGCACGAAAAAAGAAAAAACAACGGCGACTAATAACAAAAAGTGGGGATTTTCATCGCGGCCGCGAGCCGAGACGCGATGCCACCGCGATAATGCTCGTTATGCATAGAAGACGTGTGCTGCTTCTCTTTCTACTGCTTAAGTACTTCTTGTGCGATACGTAGGTGCACACGATTGTTATCGGTATTTGCATAGAAAGGCCGGGAAGTGTGTCGTTGCTTATGCGAATCGGGACCGTTTCATTGTTACGCTTCTTTGCCATTCAAGATTTAGTCTAGAGTAAGAAGTTTGATACCCAAGATGGCGATAGGTACACATTCAATCATATATAGACTGGTAAAGCACTATAGGCAACCAAAAATTCATAAAAAGTGTCATTTATTGCCTATTTACTTAAAATATAGTGTTTTAACGGTTTTTTTCACTTATTTTCTCCCTTAATCAAATTGTACTTAAGTATGTTTCATGAATCACTTGAAAAAATTTCAAAATAACGTCCAATTGTGTTGAAAAATTAGAAAAAAAAATAGTTGAACGTGTGAATTTCGAATGTTCAGTGTTGAATGGTCGTAAACGACTTAACGTTCAACGTTACTTAAGCCGAAAACTTCAATGAGCGAGCAAGACACGAACCCGACGAGAGGCAGGAACTCCGCTTCGATGGTGCGAGACTCTCTTCGAAACTTTGAAACTTTGAAACGAACCATCGCGCCATAAAATTTAGAATACCAACGAAAACTTGTAATTAGCTTTAATTTTTTGTTAGTCAAAACGCCATTCTTTCTATTTGACCTTCCTTGGTTTAAATAAAGCAATTTTACTCAAAGTTAGGTTAAGTATGTTACGCATGCGCAAAAAAATGCTAAATCAAGACGTTATCTTGTTTCTTTTGATTTTTCTTAGTTAAAATAATACAAATATTGCTATTTTAACAAAATGGTTTAAGTAAGTTGCGCATGCGCAATAAAAAATACCAAATCAAGACGTTATTTCGTTTCCTTGGACTTTTTTAGTTTGAATAAAATATTTTTTAACAAAAGTTAGTTTAAGTAACTTGCGCATGCGCAATAAAAAATATGAATTTTGGACGTTATTTTGTTTTCTTTGACTTTTCTCAGTTTAAATATCATAAATCTCTCAGTTTTAACTAAAGATGGTTTAAGTAAGTTGCGCATGCGCAATAAAAAATACAAAATCAAGACGTTATTCCGTTTCCTTGGACTTTTTTGGTTTGAATAAAACATTTTTTAACAAAAGTCAGTTTAAGTAACTTGCGCATGCGCAATAAAAATAGAAAATCAAGCGTAAAATACTCGTAAACGATGAACAATCAACTCCCAGCGGCAATATAAACAACCGTTAAATAAAAGCTTTCATACACCTTGATAAAAATTGATAAAATGTTGTTACGACCACACAGGCAGACAAAAATCTAAAATAAGATTTTCTATCAAACAATACTCGAAGTGAACATAATTTAAATTACAAATACGATGCGGAAGTAGATAATATTATGAACCGAAGAAAATTAATTTTAAACAATTAAACAATTGAAGATTAGTTAGTTAGTAATGTATGTTCGCGTAATTACGCTATGAAATTAATTATTACTTGAAACTTTCAAAGCACTGCAGACAAATAGCCCACATTAACATTAACAATATAATGAGTTCGAGTTCAAGTGCAACAGTTATGTTCTTTATTGAGCGCAGAGGTCTTTAACTTAAAGTATCTCATATTTAATATAGGAGGTTAAAAATAAGTGTAATATAGGCAACCAATATTACAATAACTGTGTGGGGCGTGTATGGAATACAAAATTATGAATAATTACTTCATTATGTGAAATTAATTAATTATTTCATTATTAATATGCTAATTTAATGGGGTATTAAGGATCAAGTGTGTAAATGGGGGTTTTAGTCACGAGATTCATTAAGAGTGAGTGTAGTGATCGTTTAATCAATTGAGTGTTTAACAAAGTTTAGCCACGTGATGTTTGTGATGCACTGTATGCAAATAAGTTTCATCCCGTGACTAAAACCCGTGACTAAAGTACTTTACTCACGGTTTTGGCTGTCCGTGTTTAAAATACCACTTTTTGTATCACAAAACTGTGAATAATGAAAATTTTATTATAAGAATAAGTTAGGTTAATGCAGACAGCGCCATCTATGTAAAATATTCCAAAGCATAAAAGTGAAAATCATCTTCATTCACATCATTAGCTGTAAATCACCTGAAGTGGATGTGACTTAAGTCACTTTATAATACCCAATAGACTCTCCACGAAGTATTTCTTTACTCCTTAGATGTCTTTATTCTCCACGCTGGAGATTATCATTATTACAAATCACAATTTGCGTCGACACAATGAAGTGTTCAAAAGATTAAGCTGTGGATAATAATCGTAACTCACAACACTTCAATACTGACTTTGTTCGCATGCAAATTCTTCCACATGCCAGCGATGCTTCTATTTATGTGCATCATAAAATGCATTTCATGATTTAACGTATGCAACAGCATTTCCTCTCATCCTCTCAGCAACTATGACGTCACCAACCTAACCTCACTCGTATTCTATTTACACGGTGTAAAATTGCATTGCGTACATTTTCTCAGGTAAAACTAAAGTAATTACACTGTGTTACACAATATCAATTACACGCGAAACATAAAAGAAGAGGATTTTCATCAGATCAGATATCTGCGAGTGTAAAATCAGTTGGTGGAGTGGTGAGAACAGACTTCGCGAAATACGCAAAGTAAACAGGTTTGGAATTACAGCTAATTCTGTAACAATCGACGTGACATAATGAAATGGTACTGGTTAACAAGTTTTTCGCAAAAGTTTCCGATTGCAAAGCATCGTCTAATTAATTACGATTGTATTTTCTTTCTAACGAGAGAAAAAATGGCCGCGCAATTGCGGAATGGCGGCCAATTATTTCCAAGAGTTGCTCTGGTCGGCGATCAAAACAACCATAAGTTTAATTTACAGGACCGGACTTAAAATATAAAAAAAATTAAAAATTAAAAAAACAAATTTTTACTTTAAAATAATTTAATTTATAATAATATTAATCATGATAAGGAAAAATGATGATTATAAATTTAATTTTTGGTTTAAAGTACGTTTCTTTCCAATGCAGTGCGCAATTTGATGCGATGCGATGCCGCTAATAGCCAACCAGTTTTTGAATCGCGTCTATTCCTAGCGAAGAAATAAACTTGTACCCGTACTCTTAGTGCGCTCGCGGGCACATACCATCGACAGACAGCTCAAAGTCAAAAGAAGGTTTTAAACTCTTTAAACTCCAGCTTGGCGCGGATTAAACGCGTCCAAACGCGTCGCATCTCGCTGCGTGAACGATCAATTTCCATTTTATATTTATTTTATGCACGATAATCTCAGCGTGACCTCAGGTGAACGCGTTTTAATTCGCTTACACGCTTATACGGTCATTATTTTGCATGATATCTTAGTTTCTGCATCAAAATGTATCAAAAAATTCATAATTACATAGGAAAAGCTAAATTTCTGGTTTTTAGTGTTATAGAGCTCTGTATTACCGACATGTATTAATATTATAATATTTTAAGGTGTTATTTTAGTTGATATCATATTTTTGAATAAAAATATATGAAAAAAGAGATAATTACATAAGAAAAAACACATTTTTCAAATTGGAGCTCTGCATTACCGACTTTCAATGAGATTATAATGTTTTTAGGTGTTATTTTGCTTTATATCTTATTTTTAGATCAAAATATATCAATAGAATTAATAATAACGCAGTAAAAAACTAATTTTTCTTGTTTATAGGCGTATAGAGCTCTGTAATACCGACTTTTAATGAAAATTTATCATTTCAACGTTAATACTTCCTTAAAACTGATAATTTTAGTTCCCACAGTTTTAGTTTTTCTATTTATTCAGTCCTTTTATCTCCCAGAGCAAATAACCGCTCATAATCTGCGCTTGGTTGCCTCCATTTTTAAAGCGTTTATTTGTTCACTTAAACTCTCTCTTGTCTCCGCTGTGCGCGCACAGAAACAAGTCTTCTTTATACGAAAACACTTACCAATTGTGTCTGCTCGATTCTGATCCAGTTTATAAAAGTTTTACACACAATATCACTTAAAACCACAACAATTAAGAAGTGATTTCACTATCACTATCACAAAAGTCTTAAAATTTCAGTTTTTTTTTGTGTTGCACTCGTGTATAATGTAAATATTAACGCGCTGAAGGGCTGGAGGTTGTTGAGTGCTCAGTTCTTGGTCCGTGAGGACGAACGCAGCCGTCTAACGAACATTGTTTGCACCTGGCGTGCACAGGTAACAGGTTGGAACGCGAGTGCCGCGACGACGATGGAAGACAACGCAACGCACCGGCACGGCGTCGCAGAGCTCCGCTGGTCGGGCGGATGGCCTTTTAAGACACTCAAACACACACACGCGGCCGAAGAGAAGTAAGAAAGGTGTGTGCAATGCGCATGAATGGCGGTCGAAGCACTCGGGCGATATTCGCGAGAGAAGGTGGAGAAGACTTTGAAGCTTTCGAAAACGCGTGTGCTGTGCGCACAACAATCTGACTTAAGTTATAACTTAAGTCATATTGCTTAACTTTACATCTACTCAACTTAAGCAATTGTAATATTCATTTTTCTTCTTAATATAAAAAAAAAATGTTACAGAGACAGTTGTGCTTAACGTTACCAGTAAGTAATGTTACTTATGTCATTGATTATGCGCATTGCAGACATTCCGTTAGGCGCATTATCCGTTGCACTTTATTAGACTTGCGTAAAATGCGAAATACGTCACGCAAATCAAAAACTAATATCGTTACATAGACAATTAATCAAAGATAATTACCAAATTGTGTTTTTAACAGTAAATTTTACGACAATAAGTAAATGTCGGTAATACAGAGCTCCACATTACCATTATACCTACATATATCCATA